TGAAAAGGAGAGAAGGATAACTGAGAAAAATGAAAGTATTAGGTTTTATTATTTAGTGATATAATATTGAATATATCAAAAGATTTTATATAGGTATAACATTTTTTTTTTTTTGATAATGAGACTTTACATAACTTATTAGCAAAAAAACTTTTAAAAATTTACTTGTTAACATATGGAGTTAGTGTAATACAAATTGCTCTCCTAAAATTTTTTTAGAGAATCTATCTTAAAACTTATTTTGTAATTAATATTTTCAAAAACTAATTATTAGATTGAAAGTTTTATGCATATATATCATATATGTTAATTTTTATATTGATCTAATACTTATAATCTTTTAATAAAATAAATTTTATTTACTAATATATATTTAATAGTGTTAAATTTTATATAATTAACAAAGTAATTATTAAGCCTACTAACATAATTTAAAAATTAACATGCATGATATATATAAATAAAATTTTTAATCCAACAATTAATTTTTTAAAATATCAAATAAAAAATAAATTTTTTAATAAGTCCTCCCAAATTTTTTTTTTTGAAAGATAACCTACAAACCACATTTTCATAACATATAATATAAAATCTAAAATATACTCTCATAATTATTTGAGTCATATCTATTAATAAATTAATTTCACTTCTTATAATATCTTTATAAAAAAAAACAAGGTAATTTTTTTTCCCTTTTTTGGAGTGGGGTTAGATGTGGCAACAATACCACCCTTTTTATGGTATTAACCAATCTAATTTTGGATTTTTGAATTGCTAAAAGTTAATTTACCAAAAAGAGAAGAATTACTAATGGTTAAACCTCTATCCCTTAGTTATTGTATAAACGTCAAATTGGTTCTTAAACTAAAAAAATTTTTAATTTAGTCCCTTAAAATTTTTAAATTTTACTTCAAGTTGGTTCCTTTATTAAAATTTACTAACATGTTATGTTTAAAACATTAATAAATGTAAGAAGACAACATGGACAAAAAAATAATAATATGGCATTTAAATTTGACACGTAATTTCACAACTAACCCAAAAAAGAAAGATAAGGCCCATCACCTACAGCAATTCATCTTTTTCCCTTTGATCTTCCTAGTTAAACTTTAAAAAGCACAAGGCCCTTTTCTTTCAAATTGATCAATGAATAATTGTAATTACAAAAGAATTTCCAAAAAAATCTAAGAAACACATCCATAATCATTAAGGAATTTGATCTATGAACCATCACAGTATTTTGATTAGAAGTTTCACAAGTTCCATAGCCAAATTCATGAGTTTGGCAAAGCAAATGTAACATGGATACAAACAACTTAGAACAATCTTGAAGTTGAAGAGAGAAAGTAGATTCAAAATCAACAAAGACTAATCAAGAATTCAAAGGAAAAAGAATCTCATCATGTTGATTTCAATTTCAATTTGAATCAAAGAGACTTACTCAAGCACCCAAACAACTACAGCGATGATGGATAAGACTGGTGCAGTGACTTGAGGCTAAGAATCACTCCTTGTTCTCCATTTTGAAGAATCCAAATGCATTTGGGTTATTGAATTTCAAGTCCAACACCAAATCACCTCATCTTCTTCCCTTTGATTTTCCTCACCCTCTCTCTTCCAAATCTAGCAACGAGTGATGATTTGACAAGGAAGATGAATAGAGCACTGAAGGATATTGATGTGAGAAACATCGCAGTGCCTAATAGGAAGTTGGTGAATGGCAATGTCTTTAGCAAATTGCGTGATGTAGAGGAGAGAGAAAAACATATTTCAAATGGAGAACAAGATCATATCTAATGGTGGAGGAAGGATGTGGAGTAAAAGTGTTTTAAGGATGTCCCAAGATGCTTATGTTCCTAACCAAATGTTGCTTAAAATTGAACTAGAACATAGAAAGGTTTATAAGCAGCACAACTATTGGGAAAACATTTACCATGCTATATGAGTTTTGTTGTTGATTTTAGATGGTAGGACTTTGCATAATAAATTGGCTATCAAAATGTTGAGAATTCTAGCATGATTTGTTAATTTTTTTGGAGCCCATGGTTGGATCAAACGCTCTAGCTTCAATTAGGGTTTGCAAAAGGAAGACAAAGGAAGAAAAGAAAAGAATTTTTAAAATTTTTTGCCATGTCATCATTATTTTTTTTTTTTTTGTCATGTTGTATTCTTACATGTATTAATGTGTTTTCACATGTTGTTGTTCTCTCCTTTAAGGAACGAAACATGTCAACGATTTTTTAATGGAGAGGTCAATTTAGAGGCAAATTTAAACTTTAAGGACTAAATTAATTTTTTTTTTTTAATTTAAGAAACAACATAGAGTACATATAATTATTAGGTACCACATTTAGGAGTTTAACCATTCCTAATTTAGGAGGTGCAATTCAAGACAGAAAAAAAAAAAAAACCATAATAAATAATCAAAGCAAAAGTGGAAAGTGGTTAAATAAATAGATTTTAAAAGATATTGTCTAAATTTAGATTGATTTTTTCTCCCCTTATTTCTTTCGTTTTCCAAATATAGAATCACAGAACCCCTAATTTGTTTCCTCTCTCTCCTTTTCTGATTTGAGGTTTTTGCTTCTTAATTCTCAGTCGCAACAGAACGAAAGAAGAATATTGATTATGGCAATGCGAACGAGATTGGCACTTTGGGTGGCTCGCAAGGTTTGGAAGGGTTTTGCATTGTGGCTTTCTATCTGCTTTCTCTTTGCACAGGACATTGCGCAGTCTCTCAATACCTTTGTGCCTCCCCCTCTTGTATACTAATTCACCTTTTACAATATATATATATATATACGTTCTTCGCTCCCCTAAGAGATGTCTTAAGTCTCTAGGTTCAAATATTTGATGTACATGAATTTAGATTGTCCCTGTTACAGAAATTAATAAACCTTATTTCACTTTGTTTCTCATCAGATTCTTTAAACTCTTCTTGTGGTTGTTTTTGTGATGATTTTTGTTTTCTTATCAGATTCTTTCGAGTTTTGAGACAATAATAACTTAATGGAAAGATGAAGGGACACATCTTTTGTCCAGAATTGAACTCAATTGCATTGTTTAGTTTAGGAATCCATCAATCTAAGGCAAAATTCTTCCATTTGAAACTTTTTCATCTTGTAAGGAAAAAGGAAAACTAAGGAGCAGGAGTGGACAAATTTCTCCCTCGCTTTCTCTCTTCTAGTTTTTAGGTTCTGATGGTGAAAGATGATGATCTACTAAGGTGTTTGGCTGTGCTTAGGTAGACTGGGTGGTTGTGGGGGTGGCAGACCAAATTGACCACAAGACTGCAGGAAGCAAAAGTGTAACACATTAGACTTTTGCTAAACTAAAATAGGCACTGCCATTGGGAGCCAAGATACAAATACAATAAAAGCATCTGTTTACATAATTGTGGCAGCAATCAGCCACATGTCAGTGACTCAGCAAACATTATTCTATTATTTACCTGGTATGGATTAAATCCTGGCCTCATTGGCATTTGTCCAAGTTGAGCCCTATTGAAAGCATGATCCAGTTGATACATTTGGCCTCCTATCTTCGATGGACTGTGCATATTTAGGAAACCATATGGAGGTTTTTCGCCTGGAAGAGCACCATGCATTGGGTTCGAGCCCATAAAATAGCCTTATGGTATTGAAGGATCGATCTGATTCATCGAACCTTGCATCCCCTATAATTTAGAAAGGAATTTAAATTGGTGCTCAACAAGTGTTTGAAACAAAAGATAAGAACCACAAACTGATAGAAGATATTTATATCAGTCTCTATCCTTCAAAATAACATATTAACTTCAACACAAACTTTAAGTCAAGCTGCAAAAGGAAGAAAGAAAAAAGTAGAGCCAAGTAAAATATACCATTTGGCCAGGCATTGCACTGGATGAAAAATAGGCATTGATGAAGGTGGAGGCAACATTCCTAGGATTGAAGATGCTGCATAAGGCATACCAAGGGGAGGCATCTACAGCAAAGGGTAAGGTAAATGATTGCGTGGAAGCATGGGTATGTAAGACAAGTTGTAGCTCTGGCATATTGGGAGTTGGCATAGGCAAAGGGGACATTTGTTGTGGGAATGCCTGGTGTTGCTGTTGAGGCATCTGTCTCAGGATTTTGTTGATATCATTGCTGCTGATTGGCAAGAAAAGGATGCAGACCAGGAGGGAGGGAAAGGGCTACAAATGGCATGAAACCTGAAAGCTGTTGAGATGATGCATCAATAGATGGTATCCACAACGGCATTGGAACTTCAACACCCAGGATGGTATACTCATTTTTGGATAATCCAGAAGCAAACCATCATGGGCCTTTGCCTTTGCTTTAGTGGCTGCAAAATTAGTGTAGGGTTTTGGTTAGAATGACTTGGAAGAGGTTAAAACATTTGAACATGCAAATTCTTCACAATAATTTCAAACTTTTATAATTCAATCCACAAGAATACTCCAAAGCATATTCAATCTGGACAATGATCAAGCAGATAATAGACAAATGAGTTCTCTAAGAAATCACAAGATTAGCACTTAATTGAACTAAGTATTCTATTTGAACTGGTCACAAACTTACATGTCAAATTTAGATTACGAAGACAAGACAGCTTTAAATTTACATTTATAGGTTTCTTCTTTTACTTAATTTTTTTCAGGGGATTTCACAAAAGAGGTGGAAGGCATCAAGAAATACATATGGAAAGCAACAAACCTTGGTTTTGAGCCATGCTAATTTTATCATGACCAGTATCTCCTGGTCTATTTCTTCACCAAAACCTTGTTGTGTGGTCATTGCTCCCACAGCATGATAAGGATGTACAAACATTTAGTAACTGTGGGGCTCGACAAAGTTTCCAACTTAATAAAACCACAAATGTCTAAGACCATTATGCTTAACCAAGTTGTCCAAACAACATCAATGTATGCACAGCTAGTACAAAACAAAAGACCATTTGGATCAATACAATACCTGGTCTTGGAAGAAGCAGAAAAAGAACATACTCTATTAAAAAAACATTGATACATATTTGATATCTACTTAAATGAGGTGTGGCCAACAATCAAATGCAAAGCCAATTCACCAAAGAAATTTTAAGTTACAAGATTAACATTTCCTGCAAAGAAGGTGTCCCAAAAGATGCCATGCCACATTCCACACACTAAAATCGTGTGCATATGGAATTTCAACCATAGCTCCTTTGTCCATGTACATCAGAATAAATATTAATGTTCATATGATATAAAACCTACTAGAGGCCAGTCCTAACTAGGCACGCAGAAAAACAACCCATTCAATTTGAAAGAAGAATCATATTAGCTGTTGTGATGCAAAAAGCAAAGCATCTAGCATACGTTCCAACATGTATGAAGAGTTATCTAGAAAAACTAACCGACAAGCCAATGAAATATGGACCCATCAAAACTCCCACTGACAAAGTATTCTTCATGGAATGGGTGCCAGGCTAGTGCTGAACAAGTTGGAAACAAAATGCTAAAATAGGAATCCGCATAAAAAAGTCACAAAATAAGAAAAGTTGGCAAGTAAGGATTCTGCAGACAAGTTAGGAAAGTTACTCTTAAAATTTTAGTTTTATTTTTCTCAAGCTTTCTATGATTTTAAAAGTCACAAGTACAACATGAGAAAAAAAATTAGAACCCAAAATCAATTGAAGACTATTTTACCACAGTCAAACATAGTCTTTATGTGTTCGGATTTTTTTTTTTTTTTGGCCAACAAACTGAATTATGTGTTAGGATATTTAAGTAATACTTGTGCAGTGTTCTCCAACAAGGAGGCATTAAAGGGAGTATACTAACTTGTCACGTCCTTCTGATGCCCACATAAAGATTCCAGCTCTTTCATAGCCCTTACGTCATAAAGCTGAAAGTTCAAGGCATGATCCGTACAATCAACAAAAATTAATGAAAAAAAGATAAAGGAATAAAGGATGTTACAAAGACCATAATTCAAGCCTCAATAATTAGATAACAGCATCGAGGGAAGAAACAAGGTCCCAACCTTGATGATTTGATCCTTCAAAGAAGTCAACAGCCAGTTACCATTTTGGTTCCATTTGACACAGAGCACTGTGCTTCTGTGGCCATGGCTGCAGAAGAAACATGTTAGTTTTCACAATAATTAAAATTGTAATCTAAACTATGATTCAACCACCAAGGATATCATACTTACAATGAGCAAAGTTCCTTGCCAGTTCTGGAATCCTATGGTTTAAAAACTGTCTTTTCCACCAAAGGAAAGGCCAATAAAAATGACTATGGGTATGACGATGACAACTTGTAATTAGATATCATAAAAGATGCCTCTGAAAGAAATTTAGTACACACCTGGAACTAGAAGAGATTTTGTAGGGTGCCAGTCAACACTCTCCACATCCCAACCATGGCTTGTCTAAGATCAAAACAAGTGTTAAACATTTTTTTTTTTTCGACCAGCAAAAAATAATATTTATTTTTTGTTTGGTTGAAACAAGTGTTAAACATTTAGTTTATGTTTGGTTGAAAGTAATGACTTCCTTAGTCAAACATAAAAATTAGTCTTAATTAATAAACTTGCTTAATAAGTTAGGAATAGCCATTACTCCCACCCAAACACGACCTTATGTTATTTCATGCATACCAAAGTTGAGTAACATGGTAAAACTTGGTAAATGATTTGATCATTTGCCACACTTAAATGAGGGCAAATAACAAACAATCATCTAAACACAAGCACTCTTCTACAATAGGTAAATAATTCAATCATTTTGTAAACTTGGTAGGTCAAACAATTCTCATATTTGAGTAGTAGTCAAAGCACATAACCAATTAATGAATGCTCTTCTTGACACTTGGCAAAGTCCCATATTTTTATGATAGCATCATCAGAACGGGAACAGAACTTCAAATCTTTCCTATAGAAACTGTGCAAACAGCTTTATCATAAAATGCACTAGATATAAGTCTTTAAACTTCACAGAAAAACAGAAGATAAAATTTACAGACCTTAAGTCACGGACAGATTCTTCATAAGCAGAAAAGGCCTCAACATGCTTCGTATTGTTCTCCCAATACCTAAATTTTAAACCAATATCAATATTCAAGCATAAACATTACTTCTTTATAACAATATTTTTAAGCTAAAGGACATGATACCTTATAGAGCCTTGATCATCACCAGAAACCATCCAGTTGTCATTATAACTCCATATGATAGACCTGATGGCTTGATCATGGGCCTGACATTATACTCATCTTATTCTTATATAGTAATCCCTAACTAAATAAGAGAAACACCATAATTAATGATGAAGTACCTGAAAATTCATCTCAACCTTAAATGATTGTCCATCCCATAAAGTAAATTCCCCACACTGGGAACCTGTGATGAAACGCCTCCTAGTAGGAGTCCACTAAGATTAAAGATAAAAGCATTAGAAGAATGGAAAGTTAGCTAAATATGGTATCCATAGAAGCCAATTTAAGTGAACTAACCAAAAACCGACTAATTGAACAACAGTTTTCCTTGGTAAATGCTCTACAGATGAATTTTTGCAACAAAGCTTGTGGATGGATTATCAGAATAAATAGCTGCCAACAACATCTACACCATGGACCATCACCCAAAAAGTAATTACACATGCAATCCATTTCAAAGGTAATGAACAAAAAGAAAAGAAAAGAAAAGAAAAACTCACTAACATCTATAGCTGCTGGTGGGTAGATTGCAATACTATCCTATCCCTCGAATCCCTTTATCACATTCAAATCTGAGAAACATTCATATTGTATATTACATGGAGGGAGAATAATTCATTGAATTTAGTTCAGGCAAGAAGGACCAATATCTATGTTGCCATAAATCCAGGAAAAACAGCAGAACCAAGAAAAAAAATAGAAAAACACGCTAGAAATCTTGCTTCAAAAACTTTACCTGCGTATATCGCACCATAGTGCTTGTATAGTCGATTGTTCTCCTTTGGATGAGCCTTCTCATTCTTTTTTCAGAAAAATTGTTGCCATGAGTTGAAACAAGCAATTAACAGAACGTAAATCTCCAAACAAGCTGCAATGTAACAGAGAAAGTCCACATTTGAACAAAAGCGAGAATTATACTATTATAATGCAGAGTAGGATGATGAGAGTAGCAGTTGAGAGTGGCGAAAGAAACTGAGGGATTCTGCATGGTCAGCAGAGGTGGTGGCCGACCCCTCGGAAAGTCACCACCACCTTGCTGCCGCTGCTGCCGCCATCGATCTCAATTCATCGCCCACTGAAATTCTGAAGTAGTATACGAAGAAGAAGTAGAAACAACAGATTGAAACCCTAAACCCAACGGAGTGAAGTTCTGGATTTGGTCGATTGGGGGAAACTGGGCGGGGAAGGAAAACATTTATTTTTTTCAATTTGCTTTGAAGAATGAAACATCAGTTGGGATATGAAAAGACATAAATATCCTTAATAGGCAATTGATGGATGAAATTCATTAATGCTACTTTTGTCTTTTTCTCATTTCGGACTGATATTGTCAGTGCAGTCTATCTTAAAGAAACCGTTCTCAATGGAAAATGCCCGCTAGGTTGAAGAATTTCATATTGGGCTTTGGGTTTCAACTTTCAAGCCTTTAAACCCACAAAAATTGAAGCAGACCATCTTAGCCCAACAAGACATATGGGTTAAATTAAGAAATCAAAGAAGCCC